CTGCGCTAAGAAATAAAGAAGAACGACGGAGCTGCTGGATTTTAGTTTTTTCCCCCATACTGAGTGGAGCGTGTTCACCCTTGTAGTAATTACAAAATCCTACACCTATCATGCGGAGATCCGGTAGGGCTACGGTTGTAAAATGCTTCTAAATGCAATCGAGCAGGGCAATATGCCTGCAATCCAGGACGCTAGGATAATTCAAAAGTAAAAGATCGTAGAAGATGTGTTCCTGAACGAAAACCTTCGATTGAAACTTTGTATGTGTAAAATTAAAATTAAGGGTATTAAATGGAGTAACTCAAAAAAACGATTCTCGGAAAAATCAACTGAAGAAAGTTCTACTGCGCTCATGCAAATAGTACCCTGCTGCGATACAATGAGTAAACTTGAAATCCTTCCTGTGAATGTAAGAAAACCCGGCTGATAAAAGTTTAGACTGTGAATGACTGTGAAAACGGTTTTGTCGTTTTGCGTTGTTTTGTATGCGAATTGCCTTGTGCGCTCCCTACAACTAACCAAACTCTTTACTGCTCCCCCTCTTCTACGCAGCTTGTTTATTTGGTCTTGTCTTCGGACACGAATACCATACATAGATAGGGTGTTGAAAGCCATGAGCTTAAGCCGTAAATTCCAGAATGTAAAAATAAGTGACCATAAAACGTGTTTGTCCTGTCGCGTGACTTTGTCAAGTGATCGACACTTGCTGTCTGGGTCCTCTAGCGGCGGGACTCGTTATCACTGCGTTTGTTCTGCACCTCCTTCTTCTTGCGTTTCTGCCAGGTTGTCCACTTCCTTCAGCGTCGCCGCCGTCTCCTTCTTCAGCTCCGCTGCCGCGTCTTTCAGCTCCTTCGCAAGCTCTTTCAACTTCTTATCCTTCTCCGCCAGTTCCGCTTCTAGATTTTCCCGTTTCTTCTTGTTGTGCTGTGCCAGCTGGGCCCCCCCCGTCTCCAATTCCCCCCTGCGCTTCTCAAGCTTTGTGTTGTTCTCCTGTTGCAAATCCTCGTGCGCTTTGTCCGCCACCTCCTTCTGCTTCTTCTCATCTTCCTCATTCTTTTTTCTCGCGGCTTTCACCTCCTCCTCCAAGGAAGCCACCTCCTTAGCAGCCCTTTTCGTCTCTTTCTCCACCGCCGCTTTCATTTCCTCCAACTGTTGCGTTCGGCTTTTCATCTCAGCCTCATTTTGTTTTTTTAAGTTCTGCAGTTCCTCGATCTGGGCGTTCTTGTGCTCCGTGTGTTCTTGTTCATGCTTTTTTTCCAACTTTTTCAGCTCCTTCTCCATATCCGCCTTCTGCTCCTTCTCGGCTAGCGCATCTTTCTTCAACTCGTCCTCCCGCTTCTTCTTCAAGGCTCCCACTTCCACCTTCAGCAACTGCCACCGACGCTTCCGCGCCCCTAGCTTCTGGACTTGCACTTTGGAAATAGAGGAATCAGCATCACCACCAGCACCCGCCCGCTTGCTCTGCATGAACCCAGAAGGCGCGGCTTCACTTCCTTGCCAACGTGTCGAGGGGAAAAGTGGATCCATACCGTATCTGGACTGCAAGCATGCGTCTTCAGTAACACAACACACGATTTCCATGAACGGAAAATCAAGAACCGAGCTACAAAAGATGGAAAGAATACTGCGATCACGCAGCAGCCTCGTGTGTAGACGCTGCAGACACGGAAGCGCGACTAGTACCACGGCATCGCTTAACTAGCTCAGTTGCCAAGCTGATTTATTACAAAGGGGCCGCTCAATAATTCTTTTAAGAGCCAGCGACGTCTTTTCAAACGCAAAACGCATGCCAAATGTCGTATGGATGCACAAGTTTCATGAAGGATAAAGTAATGCGTCGTCGCAGGCTCCTTCTTCTCCTGCTTCACCGCCAAGGCGAACTCGCCCCACAAGGGCTTGGCAGCAGCAACCAGGGTGGCTTTCTTCAGCATTTTTTTGCTTCTGACTCGAGTCTTCCTACTCATCTTGCACGAACAGAAATAAGAGGGGCACTACTCAAAGTCAAACAAGGTTTGTCGGCTTACAGTTTCGTGTAGTTTCGTTGCTTCCTCACAAAGGACAACACAAGGTTGCGCGAATAGATAGAATTTCTCAAAACCCCGGAGAAAAAAACTTTGCACCTGTGGCTCGAAGAATGAATTCGGAGAATACTATGATGTTTGTACGAATACGAGTTTACCAGTCAACTACATTTTTCCAATGCAGCTGCCTGAGATACGGTTACTAAAGAAGTAGCAACGTGAAATGCGTCGCGACAACGAAAGGGACGTCGACGAAGAACAGGAACATACTGTTTTTTTTTTCCCTGCTGATGTTGCGCGATGCATATTACCACGAGAAGAATTACGGAGCACGATGGGCACGATTAGGTTTTGTTCCAGAACGAGGGGCAGTTTGGTTTATTTTCCGGCACGTCGAGCCTACCCTTTTCAAATAACATGACGACAACCACGGATTGCCCAGAATGGGCAAGGACGATGGAACAAATCAATAAACTGCATGGCCTTCCTGTGCTTGTTTGTCGTGCTGTCCGCCATCTACATAAGTGAAGACTAGGCTTTATTTTCGTAAGCTACAGGATATGTAGTGAAGATAGGCTGGAATCCTGCCGTGTTGTCAAATCATACCGGAAGGGGGTCGAGTCGTCGTCTCATCATACTGTAGAGCTGTCGGCACAGAAAGCCTGGAACGTTGTAGCGCAGTGGACGTCGTGCGGCCACGTTGTTCTTGAGTACGTCTAGCGTTACGCCGACGAGAGTACTCTATGTCACCACAATTTAGTACGCTAGGCGCGCATGCTGATGTTGTGTAGTGACAGCGAGCCTCAAACTCGAACTACTCCATGCTGGAGCAATAGAAACTGACCGTAGTACTTCAAGGGACATTAACGGGGTAAAAAGCAGACTTTTAGGGTAGCAACTTAGTGATGGAAAATGTTTGCTGGACCTTTGTGGGAATTTTCGGGCTCTTGCTTAGAGAAACTTGCAGTGCACTAAAACGGATTGGTTGCGTTTGAGAAGGTACAGATGTTGCGCTTGTGAATTGAGAAGAGTCAAGAAGGTGAATATTATAGATAAAAAAAAACTTGTTGTACTGGTGTAAACAAAATCGCAAAAAAATGCGCTGAAAACGTTCCCCCGTAGCTGCATCAGGCTTCCTGATCATTCCTCCCGAGGAGAGGTGGTCGGGGGAGACGAGGGAGCCGACGTCGTCTCGGGCACGGGGATGGCATCGACGCGTTCCAGCATGTTGTCCAGCACGCCCTGCTGCCCCTCCAGCCGCACGATCTCCGCCCTCAGGTTTTCCAGTTTTTCCGCCAAGTCGCGCTTTGCCGCCGCGATTTTCTTCTTCAGCGCGTTCTTCTTGTCCGAGGCTTCTTTTTGCGTGGTCGCAAACGCATCCACCTCCGCTCGCAGGTCGGCCACATCCTGAGTGGGCTTCGCGATAGCTTCCGCACCGGTCACATCCACACCGTCGTCGCGCCCCTCGGTAGGTTCCTGCATGAACCCGGACGGCGTGGCCTCGCTTCCTTGCCAAAAGTGCGTCGCGCCGCGACGGTCCTGCGTCATCGCCCCGGAAACCAGGTGGAGCCCACCCTGTTCCAGGGTGCTGCTGGTAGCAGCGACGACGACTGCAGTCTTCTTCAGCATTTTGCGATTTATTTTTGTATGCTTGTCTTTTCCAGAAAGATAAAGCTTCGACTGTTCCGGCGAGGAAGAAGATTTATTTTCGCTTCTGTCCACAAAATGAAACAAGCCGCACGTAGCTAAATGAAAAAAAAAACTTGGGACCTGTTTGTGGCGAAGTGAGGGTACACGTGAGAGGTTGAGCTTGAGGCTGATCCTTTGCAGAAATTTCTAGTTAAGGAAAACGGTGTCAGTACTTTACTTCTTCAAGTCCTATCTTACCATGACTTCTCCTCGGTCGTAAGCACGAGGAAGAATGGCGACGGAAGGGAGGACGAAATCTTTCAGGACGTATGTTTCATTCGCTTCGCAGTAAGTCAAGTGCACGACTTCAACGACAAATGGAATTTGATCACGAAGATTGAGGCAAACACAATCAAGCATTATTTCGTCAACAATTTTCCACGATCCACGAATGCCATGACGCAGCACATGAAATGACCATTTGCCGACAAATGAAAAAGAACGAGAACGACCTTTCGAGAAGCTTCCTTGTTTATTCATTTTTTCTTCTGTACTATCCTTACAAGGAGCAACTGTTTCTGTTTCTTTGCAGCAATGTAAACACCTCCAGGGCTTGTGACTAAGTAGACCCTTCACCTTCTAGAGGCAGTCGGACCTCCGATAAATAATTATCAGTGCAGACGAACATCTTCACTTTATCGGCGCCGCGGCCGCTGTCCCCAGCGTGTAGCTAGCAGTAGGAGCAAAAGAATCTCGGAGAAATTTGACATTTACGCTTTTACCTTTTCTATCTTTTTCCCGACATTTTTCAACATCTGCAAGCACCGGATCCGATTCATTCAGGGTATAACTTCGATCCACGACCAAAAAGGCGTTATATTCTTTCATCTGTTTCAGAACGTCGCGCAGCCTCTGCACTTCTGTTCTCCGGTGAAATTCCTTCCACCGCGAAAAACTTTTGGAAAACAACTTCAACCGCCACTGTCGGTCGAAAACGCGAAGCAAGCCCGTTTCCGTTGCGATATGCACCAGGGTGGCGGTAGTATTCGTAGTGGAGCTTCTTGTAGTACTTCTTTCCGGTCGTGCAACTACTACAGATGAACGGCCGGCAGAAGAAGTAGAGGTTTTGACCTGAGGCTTCTTCGACGTGCTTAGTTGTACTTCTTGTCCTCTACTTGTCCTCCCCTGCGCTCCTGGCTTGTTCTTCTCTCTGCCTTCCTCCTGAAAGGTAGCATACAGCTCCTCGACAAAACTCCCAATACGCCGCTCCCGGTCGCGTTCCCCACGCAGCGCTTCCGAAAATTTCGCCCACACGCGGAAAAAGAAGAGTTGCGCTGCTTTTCTCCGCAAGGGGACGTGAAAGTCAGACATCGAAGTTTTGAAGTGGTTTATCGACGTCGACGATGCGAGAAAATCCACCATCGGGCGAGCAGAGGAGATATTGTTCCGAAACAGCACCGCCTCCTCCTTTTCGGCCTTCACCTGCATAGCCCTGTCCTGCAACTGCTCCACCGACGCCGTGAGATTTTTCTGCAGCGCAAGCAGCCGGGCCTTTCGAGTTTTATTTTCCGGGTGGATAGAAGATGGTGGAACAAGAACACCGGGCGACAAAAATGTACTGGTAAATTCATTTTCATCTACCATAGGCGCAACCTCCTCATCCTCGGGAGCGGTCAGTTGATCCGTTTGGACCTGCTTGTTGACGTTTCTGGAATAAAGCCCTGTAGATGTTGAAGTAATCGTGGCTGTCGTGGCCTTGGAAAAATGCTGGTGGTGATAATTCTCGTCATGATCACGCTGATACTCAGGATCGTGCCGTAGATCCAGTTTACTATTCGCTACTCCCGTGCCGACTTGATTCTTGCTCGTTTTTGTTTCAGAGTGAAGATCATCATCGCTATAATTTCCGCTGCTCCGTACCCCTGTACCGGAACCCAAAGGAGAATCCGCGGGGAGCACGGGCGACTGTAGCGGAGCGGTTTGTTTTGATCCCTGGGCGTCCTTTTGTCCGGGGGTGCCAAATCTCAAATCCGTCGGAGTGGCAGCAGTGGTGCCAGAAATTTGGTCGTGGGAAGGGCTGGACGGCATGCTACTTTTTCGGTGTGTTGTATCCTGGTTCTAAAAGAAAAACTACTCCTCGTCCTAATCCTATTGCTTTTACTTGCATAATTCTTGCCGTGCGGTGTAATAAATAAGTCAATCAGTTTTGCCGACGGAAGAATAAGCAAAGTGCCTTCTTTGTCAGGGCGTTTCGTTTCCTCTCGCTCCCGAACAACGAGTTCGCTCGCGCCTTTGCCAAAAACACTAGGAATGAAAAGCCCCAGACATAACAACTACCTGTAGTCGCGCCAATTGCAGAAAAGAACCTCCTCTCGCATGGCATCTTCTTCCAGAAGAAGAAGAGGATAGCGTGTGATGGCGTAGCCGGGCACTGACTTTCTTTATCGTCGTAAAGTCTTCATGCTCTTCTGCGTTGGTTTTTGATACCATTATCTATCAGCATCGTTCATACAAAATTTGCCAATTGCAAAACCTCCGTCAAGGAATCGAATGGTACTAATTAAGACGCAATGTCGCGAGAGCGGCGTCTTGTCTTTGCGTTCATTTGAAGTAGATAAAGCAAATTTCTTCACAGGAAAAAGCCATGGCCTGTCATGTGCAAAAAAAGCTCTGCGCGATCAAAATTCAATGCGGGCAAAATAATAATGCGTAGTGTACTAGCGAATAAGAGGAGGCATCCCACCACAAGCGACGAGGAAAGCACCAAAAAGGCCTCCAAAAGCATCAGTCAACGACCGTGCCTGTATCGGGTAACACGTTGATTCCCACGTCTAGACAGTCGTCGTTACTCACTTGTCCCGTGCGGTCGAACTCCAGGAGAGTTTGAAACACCTTCTTTCTCACATTTTGCACCTCCGACTGCTTCTGGCCGACGAACGCGACGAACCGCTTCGGCGTGAATCGATTGGTCAGAACGGAGAAGCGCACGCTCAGGGCGCAGTTCGTCACGGTGCGGACTTGGTCCTGCTTCGCCCGCTTCCGGACGACGGTTATAGTATGTGGCTTGTTCGTTCCCTTAACACTGTGCGGCGTCGCGCCAGAAGCGCAGGAAGCGGCGCTTGTACTAGATTTTGGTGTGGTAGAATTATTTTGCCCGAGCCTCTTCTTGCCGGCCGCGACGCCGACACCTCCGCCACTGTAATTGTGAATCGGCAGCTGCTTCAGACTGGGCACTTGGTCCAAAACTTTGCGGTTCCGTTCCCTGTAATCCGCAATCATGGACGCTGTCGAGGAACCCGAATCGGCTCTTGGGCGTGTTTTTTGCTCAGCAGGTAACTGGAGATGTTCTTGACCGGCGGCCTCGTGAGTTGTAGTAGGAATGGTTTTCTGCCCTTCCAGTCCATGACTTCTCTGATCATCTTCCGTGGCTGCATTAAAAACAGTGCCATTCGGGAAGAATTCCAATTCCACCTTGATTTTCATACTGGCCGAGGGCTCGTAGTAGAAGGTTGGCGACAGCAAGCAGACCCCCTTCCCGTGCTCGCGGATCTTCAAACTCGCGTTCTCCAGACGCCACATTATTTTTTCGGCGTTGTTGCAGTACTTCCGGTATCAACTGCAAAAATGTCTGGGTCTGGAAACTTGTGATGCAAGTCCGTGAACAAAATACTGCTCTGTAATGCGCCGCCAAGCATGACAAGTTTTTTCGTGTTTCTGTACTGCGTATTTCGCATGAGAGCCTGCGCTTTTGCATGACAGGCAAGAGGACCTCTTGGTGGCCACGCAATACAGAGTGCAGAGTCATGCTAGACTAGCATGACAAATCTCGCAATCTTCCAGACCCAGACATTTTTGCATTTGATATCCGGAGGATGATTTGCGGCCGGGGATACAAATTCTGCTGGCTCGTGTCGTCAATGATCAGACGCTGGACCGGCGGGGACGACGCGGCTATAGTACTGGGCTCTACCTGCGAGAGCGCTTCCTGTTCTCCTGCCCCGACGGCGAGATCAGTCGCGGTGCTGTAGTGTCTCGAGCCGCCCAGCGGCGAGGCCGCGAGGTTCGGGGGCGCGAAACCAGGATGATGAAGCGAGGACGGTGAAGATGTTGCTGATGCTGTCAGTATAAAAATATTGAATTGGGTCAAAAGATTTCCCCTGCAGTTATCGTTGTGCTTTCGACGTCCCTTACAAGTACACCACAGCAACTTTTCAATAAATCATACCTCCTTCCCTCCCAGCTGCTTCTTCCCGGGTGAGAGCCGAGTCGTCCAGCGCAATGCCAGCCCCGCTGCCCGGCAACAAGTGCCGCAAACCGTCCTTTTTCGAATCGATCGTGATGGTATGGAACGGACAAAAAGGCGTAAGCCCTGCTAACACTAAGCATTTGCATTTGCATGCAAAAATACATTTGCAATCATGATCTATACCCCACATCACGTCCGATGCAATAAAGCGGGAAGACACATCCAAAAATTTAGCAGCAAACACTGACAAAAAGCAGAAGCCCGCCGTTCCATCTCATACACGTTCGAAGCGTCACAGGGACCACCTTGTGCCAGTTCTTTCGACGCCACACTGGACAACAAGGTCGCACCACAACTACCGCCGTCGTCTCCCCCGCATGTCGCGACCGTGGTCGCCTTCGAAGGACCACAACTAGTAGCAGTGTTTGAAGTAGATTTGTTCGCACCCGCAGCCCCGGCCTGCGGTCGCTGGTTCCCGTTGTCGTGTCTCGGGATGGGCGATTTCTCGTTGGGCGAGGGTGCAAGCGGTCGGTAGAACCCCGCGTTGGACTGGTGCAGCTGACTCGCGCTGCTCACCGCCGTGGTGTCAGGGTCGATGGAAGTTTGCTGCAGCCGCTTCTGCTCTGCGTTTGTTGCTCTCGGCGTGGCTAGTTCGTCCTGTTCCGCACCGTTCGGGACATGCTCCTCCTGCTGCACGACCATCGTGTCCACGATCTTCAGTTTGCTCGACGGGGCTTGATGCCCGTCACTCGCGGGAGGAGTCCGCGGAGGGCCTGCGGCACTAGACGATTCCAACTGCGTGCGCGCGACTCTCTCGGTGTCCTGGAAGTTGTGCGTAGTTGTAGAAGTAGTGGCTCTTGGAGCAGCTGCCAGGACCACAGCGCCACCATCATCTGCCTTCGACTCGGAAGAAGTAGTCACTGCAATGGGATTGTTTGTCGCTCCTCGGCCATGTCCACCCTGATTCGCCAGGCAACCGGAAGTAGGTCCCTGCGATTGCTCCTGAACTTGGTTCTTCAGATTCTTCCCTGTCAGCGTTGAGGAATGAGCTGGTGCTGCGTCAGGCTTTGGCCCACGACCTGTAGTTCGGATTTCAGCAGGAGCTGCACCTGCAATGGTTTTGATATCAGTGCTGCTTTTCCTTCCTGCTATTCTCACATCACGGCCTGCAGTGCTACTGCTGCTCCCACCCCCGACAGAACTGCCCGCTCCCGTGGTCCTAGTTGCCGCACCAACTTTCGGGACGAGGACTGCACGCCCCTGGCCTTGCCTTTCCGCGGGAGCAGTTTTTACCCGATTTCCCCGTGGGTACTTCACAGCCAACGGACTGCTTTTCCGCTTGCTCGAATTGGTGTGGGAAGATGAGGAAATAGCTGAAGCTTTAATATCTTTGTTTCCCATCGATGTTGTTGATGCCGCTGTTGATGCACTGCTGGAGTTTGCAGTTTCTGACAGCCCTCCTCCTCCTCCCGCAAAGCTGCTTCCCAACTGCACCTGCTTCCGGCGGAGTCGTTCCTTGTGCTTCTGGAAACTCCGCTCCAGCTGGGAGAGCTCCGGCTCATGTATTTCATCGGGTTGCTCTGCACATTGTACTTGTCCGGAGCAATTATGAGCGCCGCCGTCTGGAGGTATGAGTCCTGCGGGCCCGTGCTGCTCGCTCGTAGAAAAATTCTGCTCAGTGACACCTCTACGATCGCCCTTGCCGCCAGTAGATGAGCTACTGCTTGGCGTCTTTCCTTTTGGCGGCACCAGCTCTTCCAACGGCACGATCCGGTACTCCGGAGCGATAGTGCTTTGCTCCACCACCGGCACCAGTGCGGGCGGCCGGAAACTCACCTGGTCGCACAGTTGCTCCACTTCCTTGCAAATGTCGCGAACCGAAGATGAATTAGCAGGTTCGCATTGGTTGTTTGGTACTGCCGATGATGTAGCCACCTGTGCGACTCGCTCGATGGTCGCGTTGGTACTTCCAACAGGATCCTGTCGCGTGCGAGTCGGCGGCGCGAAGGCCGGAAGGTCCGAAGCGATCGTGGAACAGGCAGCTGCAGTAGAGCGTGGCTTTCCAAGTTGTTCCGCCTGCTGTAGTTCTTTAGAGCTGGATGCTGCAGGCGGTGGTACAAAGGATGCGGGTTCTACATTTCCGGAACCCGCCGTAGTGAGACCACTTTCATCTCCGGTGCGCTCTGCCTGGTGCTGTTGCTTTGCAAGAGCGAGTTGCTGCTGCAACTTCTGCAGATCCTGGAGCTGGCGTTTGCACTGGCTCTCCAAACGATCTGGTAAGTTCAAAAATGTTGAGTTTTATCGGACAAAAACGACAACCTAAATTTTACCTGTCACAATGACAATTTTACCATTCGTCTTTTTCCAGCTGAACCAAATTTCTCGTCCACGCAAAAACTTTTGACAGTACGCAGGTCCTGTTCCTGTCGTTCGTATTGCTTCCGCCCTTCCGCCACCTCCTTCGCCCGCAAGTCGTATGGATGTGTCAGGTTTGAAATCGTCAAAGTTGAAATAGTTTGTCATGCATAAAACGGATACCAGCTAGACCTACAGTTTGTAGTCGGTGCATGACAAATTTTCCCGGTCCTGGAAGCGAGTCTGTCATGCGGTTTAGGGCAGAACAGCTGCCTTCTGTCATGCTAGTTAGCAGTCCACCTTTTGACCCTTGCCAGGACTATAATCTGCCTCCCGTGGGTCCTCTGCAATAGAGTCACTTTTTGTGTAGCATTTTATGCATTACAAATTCTTTCAACTCTGACGATTTCAAACCTGACGCTTCCATAAGTCGTGTGCCTCGGTCAAATCCGCAATCCGCTTCTCGTACACGAGTTATCAAATGTAAAAATGTCTGGCTCTGGTAGAATGCAACTTGTGATGCTAACTTTGGAGTCTAAAAAAATCTGTATTGCATGAGCAGCATTAGGCGTCCAGTTTGTGCTACGCGGGGAGGGCACTTGTCATGCGGGATAGGCATCAGGGAGGCCTCGAGAAATATGTGATGCTAGATCATGCATTACAGACAACCTGAGTCATGCAAAATATGCATGACAAACCTGGTAACCTTCCAGACCCAGACATTTTTACATTTGATACGAGTCTTTCCTGCGCAAATTCGTCGTAAACTGACTTCGCGAAGGCGCCCGACTGTAAAGCCTGCTCCTCCAGCTGCTGCTCCAATCTGGCGCACCGGTCGGTGTAGTAGGTGAGTAAATCCTGCTTCTTCTGCTTATCTTTCTCCGCCACCGCCTTCAGCAGGCTCGCCGCGGCATACAGCTTGCCCCCGCCGTCGCTGTCGACGGACAAGTTTAGCTGCTCCAGCTCTTTACCGACCGACTCGGCCGACAAAATTTCTTCGCGCGAAGGCGAGGGGAACGCGATGGGATTTTTTAGTCCTTCCGCGGTCCCGACGAGTCTTGAATAAAGTGCATTTTGTTCTCCGTCCCTTCGCGTTGTACCACAAGCTACCGGCGCGGGAGATTGGTCCTCTACTTCTTTTTGCTGATAATCATCGGCATGTGTGACGTTCGTGCCTTTTTCAATTCCGTTCGTGCCGGAGAAATTCCCAGGAGCAGGAGGAGCTGAGGCTATACTTGGAGCTGCTCGCTCTGATCCTGTGGCACTTCCCGCGGCCTCTATTTTCCCAGGAGCAGCGGCAGCAGCAGTTCCATCGGCAATAGCACCAAGGCTACTCTGTGAGTTAGTTGTAGGCTGGTCCAGCTGCACATCTACTTGCCCCTCACTCCCCGGGGCTGGCAAAACAATGCTCTGGTCGAGTGCAATCGCGTCCGGGATTCTTGCGACCTCCTCGTCGGGAAGGTGCCGCTCCGTCTTGTTTTCCAACTTCCCCGCAGCTGTGTCAGTCACTTCTCCTGTGCCGCCCGCCGCTGCGGTTTCTGTCGTTGCTCTTGCAAGAACATGATCTCTGCCTTGGGAAATATAAAAGTCCGGCTTCCTCCTGCTCTCCGTGTCTTCGAAACCGTCGGCCACTTTAATACTGGCATCGGCTTCATTGCCATCAATTATACCGGTGCATGAATACAGCGGCCGTGCTGAAGGAGAAATTTGCTGCTCTGCAGGTGGCAGGAATGGATTTGCGTAGATTTTATCCTGCTTTTCCTCCAGCGATACCACCTCTTCTTCCTCACTGTGGTACTGCCGCAGAAAATACCGTGGCGCTCCTGCCGGACCTGATTCAATTTCCGAAGATGAACTATTTTCGCAGCTTAGGTGGTCTACATTTGTGCACACAGAAAGATGTTGAAAGCTAGCTGTACATATTGCAACAATCAACAAAAAACCTGCTCCACCACCATTCCGGCGACTTGCTGGCGTCGAAGATGAGGAAGAGCAAGAACTTTGCTGCTGGTAGTAGCTTCGCAAGGCCGAAATCGAGGCTTCCAGAGAGTTGTTTTCTTCGCGAGACGTTTCTTGCGTGGAATTGGAAGTTACGGCTCTTTTGTTTCCCGCGGTCGCATCCATTATGCGAGACTCATCCACTGCTTCTTCTTCACGCAACGGTTCAGTCGACGACCGCATATGGTCCATGGTACGGTGCGTTGAACATGATCCCAGTGGTGCGGCAGAGATAACTGAAGCGCCGACGCCGTCATCGAACGACATGGTAGTACCTCGTCTCAGTAAAACCTAGAGTCGCATGAGAACTTGAACTACAAGAACGAAGAACTAAATAAAATCAGTTTTAAGCAAGAAAACCGTCCAGCCTGCCGGCGTGGTCCTCATACAACACAACCTCTCATACCACGGACGGCCTCAGTCGCTCCGAAAAGAGCACAATAAACAAGTACTGAAACGTAACTTGTCTTTTTGTGGAAAAGGGAGTTCCTTGAAGGGAAGAGGACAAAAAAATCGTTTATTTGATTCTTCCCTGTAGATCTTCTAACACGTAGTTCAGACACTAGGCCCTTTGGAAATTCTCTCAGCATTTTTGGCGCCAAAGCTTTGGCAATAGAACGCGATGCAGTACTTGCTTCTACTGCTTGATGTTCATGTTTTTCGCTCAGGGAACCTCTACAACCAACCTCATCTTCCAGCAGAGAGAAACATCAAAGGGAACAGATGGTGAAAACAAGCCACGACAAATAAAAATAGGAACATGAACGATACAAACCCTTTTGTTTCCCCGCACCAACACGTCGCACCGTGCTCCTCCACGAAAGCGGAAACTCAATAGCCTCCCCTTTGCTTTTTTGCAGCACTATGCAATCAAATAGTTTTTTGTGCCGATTCGAAAATTAGGCAAACAGGAGAAACATCAATGAGTAGAGAAAAAACCCTCAAATTCAGCCTCGAAGGTGCTTTATTTTCCTTGATTCTCCGGCACGATGAAAAATAAGCTACTTCAGATTCTTCCGAAAAAAATCCTACGTTTGTAGAGTGTCGCGTGCTCCTCAGTTGGTTGAAGCGATAGTGCGGAATTCATTGTACAGGACAAGAAAAGGAAATAAATCATGAGTGAGTGAATGAGTGAGTGCATGATCTACTCTTTTTACGAGGAAATAATTAAAAGGGCGACCACAATAAGCGAAACGCCAAAATACTGTCTCGCGCAGCTGCGTGTCGAGCATGTTTTACGTCGATATTTTTGATTTGAATAGCTCCGGCAAAAAGATGAATCTCTTCAACCAGATAGTTCGTCCAGTGCATTCACTCTTCAGCGCATATAATGGAACATCCGTATCGGTTTGACGAGCTGCAAATTCTTAGTTATCATACACGTGTACAAGTTATCAAAAATCTAAGTTCGTCCCCTAGGACCTCCGTGAAGCCCATACTCTTCCAATTTCCTCGAATACTCCGTTAGGTCTGCCGAATCCACGCAATACGCCGCGGCGCCCCGCTTCTCTCGCGTATCCATTGCAAAACTATGTCTTGGTGTTCTGGAAGGTGAAGATAAGATGCCAGGTCTGATCGACGAGGACACACAAACCTGTTCTTTTGCAGAAGCAGCAAAAGCGAGTCACTTTCGGTCACGTAAACGCGACCACGTTTCTCGTGCAGAACGGGCATCGAGCAGACTTGCTCCCAAAACTTGTGATGCCAGGCCCTGCAATATATATCGCGGACCTGCTCCTGGGCCATGCAAAACCTGGATGACAAAGAACCTCCGAAAGACTTTTATTCCAGACCAAGACATACAAAATTTGCAGTGGATATCGCAGCCAGGGGGGCAGTCTGCTCGAGATGTTGCCCTCGTGCACCACAACTCGTCTCTGGTTTCGCAGCTTCGCCGTGATCTCAAACTGAAACGCCAGACTGTGGTACTGGTGTCCCAGTTGGAAAGCCGTGTCGTAATAGTAGCTCTGCGCGTGCGCGGTCAGTGTGCGGGCCACCACAGCAAAGAAAAAACTATGCTCCCACCAGACGCGCTTCAACGGGAACGAATCGGGCGTTGTGGCCGACGTCCTTGCTAACCGTCTTGATGCCAGGGAGGCGAATTCCCAGGTGAGTTGGTGCTCCAGCTTAGCAAACGAGCGCATCAAATGCTGCAACGGAGCGTGGTCGAAGGGCCGCACGTGGTCTTGCACCGCCACCGCCCCCCGCGCTGGGGTCTGCTTTCCGTACTGCGTCTTCAGATCGGGGCCGGTCCAGGCGGGACCCTTGCTTCGGTACTGAAGATCAAATGCCAGCGTTCGGACATATTTTAGGTCAAACTCGTGCTGCTTGCGCGTCTCGTCTCCGCAGTTCTCGGCCTCCTCCAGCAAACTCGACAAATTCCCGTCGCTGCGAACTTTCTGCCGCACCAAACCAAGGAAAAAGTCGCCATGGGGCGAGAGAAAGGTGGTTTTCACAACAGGCGTACTACTACCTTCCAAGAGTTTCTTTTCAACCGCATCGATGTAGTGCACCGCGCCCCCGGTTAGGTACGCTGCGGAGCCGAGCCCGTGGTGAATATCACTGTGCCCCGGGCCGTGCGGCCCGGGTCGGCCGCTCAATCCCGCGGCAGTGCCGTCGCTCGAAACTTGGACAATGTCCTCCTCGGCGAGATAGTTGATTTTTTGCGCGTCTGTCCATTGCCCCATGAATTCCCCCAATCTGCCCGCCTGCTCCTGCAGAAAGGATTTTCGTACAGGTTCTTCCAGCCCTTTGAGCGCGTGTGAATCCAACGGATAGTCTCTCCGGGCCCGCCGGTTCACCGCTTGCTCAAACAACTGCTGGAACCGGCCACGACCATTATCCGCTCCCATTTCTTGCCGCCTCCTCAGGTTTTCAAAAAAATTCGGGTCGCGCCCCTCGTCGAGTAGAAACTCGCAACTGTCAGCCGCCTGTGCGGGCAGGCGTAAGGCAGCCACTTTCATCAGAGCGTCCGTTTGGTTCTTTTGGCCCTGCTTCCTATTTTTACCCTTTTTGGAAGTACTTCCGCCTTCCGACGCCGGCGCTGGCTGACCTGCGATGATGATGTTCGTAGAAACTTTTCGCTCGTGAATGGACACATGCGCGACCAACGCGCGCAGCACCGCCCAGGCGGGGCGGTAGTTCGTGTTCAGGACCACCAGCGACAAAACCGTTTTCGGGGACTGCATCTGGGTTTTGGCTGCGAATTTCGCGAAACCAGCTTCAAGGCGATCTTTCACAGCCTTCCTGCCTGCAGTGTGTTCAATTTGCCTCGGTTGTGCCGCGTTTGCACGCAATTTGCTGTACGCCTCTTCCCAATCTATTAGCTTGTTCATAGGAAGTAGGTTCTCCTTCTCGGCGTAGTTGTAAGCTAAAAAATCTTGCATCTCCTCGGTATACGTGTAAGGTTCCTTATCCTTTTTCCGCTTCCGGTCCTTCTTTTTCTTCTCTATCTGGGGCACGAATTCCAATGCCTTCTGGGCGCGCTCCACCAGCTCCACGACAAAAGCGTTGTCGGCTCTTTCTTCTTCGGTTAGCGATAAAACACGACCATGGGGGTCTTCTAGTACCTCTTCATTTCCCACCGCAGCTGGGTCCTCTTGGAGTACAGAAGATCGTGCTCTTGAAAAGTCTGTGCGCAATCTGGACACCACCAGGAGCGCCATTCCGGCCGATTCCAACGACGCGAGGTGGGCCCGCAGCCGGTCCGTCCAGGCCGTGTTCGCCAGCAGCTCCGCCTTGGCAGCAGCGACTTGCTCCTGCGCCACCAGCAGGCGGCGTTTGTTCGCCTCCCGTTCCTCTGTAGTTCCCATCGCGGCGCCACGACCCCCTGCGATCTTCTTTTTCACCTCCAGCGAGACGAAGTGGGCGGTTTTCATTTTCAGAAAAATCTTTTTGTTGTCCCCCACCGCCGCTTCCACCTCCCGCATTACGAGGTTGCCACGTCGATACAACATATCCAAGGCAAGCTCCACGTGCAGCCGCCCGCGCGTGACAGCTCTCATCGCCGCGGAGGTTGAAGAAGGTACTAGTCCTGTACGACGATCAAGAGCCGCCTGTTCGTCTTCGTGCTTCCGGAACAACTCCTTGCACGCCGCCGGGGTATACTCTTCCCGCTGCCACTCTTCCTGCAAAAACTTGTCCAAAGCCGCGCCCTCGTCCTCGGAGCTGGCGGTGTCCTCCGTGCGAGCAGGAGTCGACGGTTGCTGGCCGCGTTTAGAAGCTTTCGTACTCTTCTTGGTGGAAGCTCTACTGCTACTTCCTTCCGGCCCGAGTGTCATCGCTCTGGTCTCCTCGACAAGTCCCTCCAGTGTGTCGCCCGAATCTTCTTCCTCCTCGTCCGCCGCGTCCTGGCCCAACGGGCCAAAACCGGTCCGTTGTGTTGCCGACGCGACCAGCAAGACTGGAACCTGCTGCTGGATAGAGTCTTTTGAAGCCGCGGGCTGCAGCGGCGCTCCGGAGCGAACATCAGAATCTTTACTAGCAACACCCCCCTCGACGTCCTCCTCCCGCCACAACTCCCCTTCCGCCACCGGCGGTGCCACCCGGTGGCACGCTCGCGCCTGGTCGCGCGCAAACTGCGTCATTTGGGCGTGGCCCGCGTTAGGCGTAAGAAACAAGCCCAGTTTCGTATACACAAGCTCCCGGAACAGCCCGCAACTGGTCCAGCTGTCCGCAAAAAACTGAAAAATTCGGGGGGACGAGGAATTATTTTGTCGCGGACTCGTCGGTGCTGCTTGTCGGAGGTGCTGTTCATCATCTTTCGCAGAAACATTTGGCGTCTTCGGACATTGATGGATATTCTTGTCGAGCGGCATGCTGTTTGACGAACTACTCGTCCCGCGTACCATGTAATTTGCGCCGTAGAACACTTTGCAGTACTTCGCTTTGAGTTCGCGATACCTTTTGTCAAAAACCGCTTTTCTACTCGGGCAAAGCTCCCCCACATCTGATATTCCGTCGATGCTCCGACGGCAACCAGGACCATTCGTGCAGTTGGGACGCAGAAATGCTGCACCAAAACCGTGGGCTGCCGCACCAGGAGAGTGTTGCTGAACACTACAGGGCCCACCTCCACCTGTCGCCGGCTCGCGCATCAGGGTCCGAAACGCGCGCAAGTCTGCTTCCATACCGTACAGCGTGTCGTGTAGTGTCTTCGTCATGCGTAGCTCCACAACGCTGCGGCTCAAAATTTTCTCCTGGTACACATCGAGCACAGATTTCCGGGCACGATCCGAGGCAAGAAAGCTCTGGTTCTGGGCTGAAAGACGCAGACGCCGGACATCTTCCAGTGTCTGTGCAACAAAAAAATCAGGTGCTGGCGCAGGCGCTTCATCATGCTGGCTTGTTACCCCAGGAGAGCCTGGTTGTGGTGTAGCTGCCCCTGCGAAATGGAGGATGCAGGTTGCGGTGAAAAGATAGACCGCGGCGGTCAGAAAAGCGTGAGTGACCGCTCGCATTTTGATTTTTTGTGTGCGATATGGAGAAAATTTAGATGAAAGAGCGTACTTAAAACACGACGTCGTTCCCAACGTTGCAAATATCGAATCGAAGTATTGAAGAGCGTCCTCTTCTAAAGTCAAAGTCGTGGATAAAAAAGGTAATAAAGTACATACTAGGTGAACAAAAAGCTAAAAGTTTTCGCACACCTAGAAAGTAAGTTACAGCTGACGAAGAGCGCAAAAGAGAGTAATGCTCTATTTCGTGTACTTTTGATCTTGATCCCGAAATTATTCTATTCACTTTCGCTGCTTCATACCAGCAGCATGTGGATCTGCATCACTATGATGAAGATCTTCTTACAGAAATAATGGATCTCCTTCTACTATGAAATCCACGTGACCAGAAAGTACAAGTAGATGATCAGGGATTGCTAGCACTATTTAGGCTGGCCTTTCGCTTTCGCGACCAGTCGAGTCCTGATCTGCGGTCTGAAATCATTCTTTTAGAGTAAGTGAGTAGGAGCAGAGGAGCTTCACCAGCCACGTCCTTTTTTTCTCCTGTGTGCATCGTCACGGATTCTTCTTCCACCGAAAATTGTACTTTCACGACACGACATCTTGATCTTCATAGATAAAACGACCACATGCTGCGCAAACCTGACGCTGAACAATTTCGACAACAGTTTGGTCAGCAGGATGTTTCTGCGTCTGGGGGCATTTCTGCATTCAGCTCCGTCAGCTTTGAGACTGATTTGATATCAACACGACGACTACACTAACTGTACGTCCGAGCAACTTCAGAAGCGAGGACGAGGAAGAACAATCGAAAGAAAATCCCTTTCATCTCACAGCTCCGGCGGGGTGTGCAAATGGCAAGTTGGGCCGACCACGAATCCCCTCTTCGCTTCCTGGTGCATGCACCACAGCGCAGACAGGTTTCGGAACGAGTTGATCGCTACCGGAAATTCCGAGAAAGCGAGCGCAGGGAACCCGCGAGTGTTGACTCGAACGTCCGGCAGGTGTCGCAAGAACATGTGCTCCGTCATCGGCGCTTTGTTTCTGGGGTGATTCGGGTCGGTTTCAAGGGGATACGATTCGTGCGGTGCGGGCGGAGGTCTTCTAGATGCTGTTGTAGTACTCGCTGGCATCGTCGCATTTCGTGTTTCTATCGTCCCAACATCCTGATCATCCGGGTCGTGTTTGATATTGTTCTGCTGAAAAAATTCCTCCGCTTCACTCCCTTCCGAAGATTTTATTGCTTCCGGTCGATGTTCTCCTCCTCGTCGTCCTTCAAGTAAATTCAGCGCACTGCAGTGCAAGTGGTGGTGCAGCCGCCCCTTGACGTAGTGCCAATTGTGCCGTTGCAGCAGCGTCTCCCGCTCTGCGTTACTCAACCACCCAAACGACAGCCGCCACACTTTGTCCACGCCGGAGGGCTCGCGCTTCAGCGCCCGCGCCCCTTCCAGGAAGGTTTTCACGGGGTGGAGCGCCAACCGCGTCTCGTACAGGAAGGGCCGGTTGGAAATGACAAATTTGTCGCGCCCGAACTTGTCCACCACGTTTGTCTTGTCGGGCCGGATTTTCAGCTCGCCCAGGCAGGCGCCCAGCAACCGGTCATCCTGGTGTCCCGCGAAAAACGCCTTGCACAGGTCGTTGCTCCCCGGCTGCAACCCGTTCTGGTCCGCCGGAAACCGGTCCTGGGCCCACCACCGCGACGTCCGCAGCTCTTTCAAGTACAGGCTCAGCCGCCTTAACACCGTGTTGGAAAAGCAGGTCGCCGGTCCCCCGTCGTTGAACGGCCGCTGCCCGTCGCGGCTGGCGTGGTACAGTGTGTGGCCCAGGAAGTGCGGCTCCCGCGCGTCCATGAACTTCACCATCTTCCGGAAATGCTGCGGAAGGAAATACGCGTCGCGGTCCAGGCGGCAGACCCAGGAATCCTGGGGAAAAAACTTCGCCAAATACGCGTACATCAGGAACATTTTCGCCTGGGTATTGTACACTTTTGCCTGCTTCTTTGCAAGAACTGGCGAGGAATTTCTAGCGTCTGGATCCGGTGGTGTGGTCCCACCGCCGGTTGACGTTTGGTCATCTCCTCGAAGATTCTCGCTTAATGCAGCTTTTCTCGCTGATGTTGTTCCGACGTTCATCTCTTCTGCTTCACCTGCTACACCAGCCTCCCCACTTGCCGCAGCCCCCGCACTAGTTCCGCCTGCCGCTTCCGCCGCCTGCTCAACAGCCTTTTTAGTGCCCACGACCTGGTGCTTCGTTTTGGAATCGTAGTGCAGGTTGCTCTGGTCCGGCGGCAGATCACTCGGGAAAAATCGCCGCAAATCAATCACGTCGGGCGGGAGATAGTACCTGCGCTTCCAGTGCGCGTGCTTACTGTCCCAAATGAAGTCGAAAAAACCGTCGCTTCCGTTCTTGTCGTTGTGAATCGGGTTAGTATTATTCTCAACAAACTTTCTGCTTGATACCGATGTCGCGGGTTCGCCTGTAGAAGAAGTGCCGTCTGCTTCTTCTTCGACTGCTTCCCCGTCTATAAACGTCTTCACGGTGTAGCTGAGCGGGTCTTTGGTACTATTTTCGCTGTCCTCAACATCTCCCCTTCCATGCAAGTGCTTCCGCTGCTCCGTTTCTAAAATCTCTAGTTCCGTGAATTTTTTGTCGTAGGTCTGCCGCAGTTCGTCCAGATCTTTCCACCAGACAGTGTACTCTTCATCCGGGATCGCCACGAAAAACAGCAACCGATCGCACCCGCCCTGGTCCCGCTTGAAACTGCCCCAGGTTTGCAAAATCTTCCGCCTGGTTTCCGCCTGGGCCGGCCAAACCAACGGGACGGCGCAGATGAGAGGAGGCGAACGCGTTTGCTGTTGATCGACGTCGTGGTCCACTAGTACTTCTTGTCGCGCCTCCTGCTGGTGCTCTCCGTCCTGTAATAAAACTGCGGCTCTTGTTCCAGTTGTTCCACCTGCGCTGTTGCGAACATCGATCTCATAAAGGCTCAACCTGTTATGCCGGGGCTCCACAACCGGGCAGACGCGCCAGTGGACAGTTCCCGCCCTTCTATCCAGCTCGAGTGCCGTGCTCCTCGCGAGGCCGCCGAAGGCAAACCGGAAATCGGACAGCAAGGTGGAGGCTGCGATGGAAGATGTTCCTCCTGCGCTGGTGTTCATTTCACCATCATCTCCAAGAGCAGGACCACCACCTGCGGCAAGAAGCAGTAACCTCTTCGCAAATTCGTTTGGTCTCTGATCGACATAGTAGGTGTCTGTATCTACGTTTGATGTGTCCTCTTGTTCTGCGGATACTTTGGTGTCCGATAATTTGGTGTCCTGCATCTTCAACGAGTTCTCGACGACGTCCTTCCCGTTATAATTCCCCAGTTCCTGCTGCACCACCTGGTCCACTACGGCGCTTTTCAAATCCCCCAACCGGATCCACCTGCCGTACAACGGAAAGTCGTAGATGCTGTCCCGGTGCGCCATGAATTCGATGTTCGCCTCGTAATTCAGCAGAATCTCCCTCGCGGGAATCAATCGCTCATACCGACTCATTTCGTAGCACTGCACCCCCGCCGCGGCCAGTTGCTCCACCGCCGCGTCGAGCAAAATGTTGTGCAGCCGGTGGTTCTTATTCCACAGAAAAAAGCCGGCTGCCGGCAGTAATGCAAAAATAAATACACAAGAAAATCTGTATTGCGTATCCTAAACAGCATGCTATGAGGCCGCCCATGACAGATTTTTCAGTGTATTTATCTTTGCATTACAAATATGCCCGGCCAGCTTTTTTCTGTGGGATAGTTCTCGGCGACCACGCAGTCGGCCAGGAAGAACGCAAGATCCGCCGGGCACTTCGCAGTATTTGCCGCATCAATCATCTGCATCGGGTACATTGCGGACAAGCCCAGGGGGTCCATCTCGATGTAGCGGTCGCAGAGTAGGGGGGCCTCCGGGTCGACCGAGGTGTCGGGTGGGTCGGGGGGAAATTTCTTGTCGTTGTAGGGCGGGGGTGTGGTCCGGTGCTCCAAGACCCACGCGAGGTCGCAGGCGCAGGCGGATGTTGAAGTAGGGGGAAGTTCTTGTAGATCTGCATCTGCGGCTTCTACTGAGAGAGTTCTTTCACGCGGCAAGAGAAATAAAATCTCTGCTAGAAGACGACAAACCAGAGCAGCAGTTCGCATTTGCGGCATTCTTGCGGACATCTTTTTTTCTACTTTCCGCGCACGGCGGCGAGGAAATGGACGACCCTCACACCACCTTCCGGCCGTGCTTCATTCATCTGTAGTGAATGCCGGGTCTTTGTTCTTACGTGCTGCTCCTTGCTTCTTTCTATCACTTGTTGTTCGCTTGCAGCGAAATAAACTTCTTCACACGCAGAAACAAACATGTGAGCTGACGCGAGGAAGGAACGAACATGCGTGAAGCGAACACCTTTATCAGTTCGCCAAGGAAAGACGCAACTACTCGAGGAGCCCTCCATGGTACAAGCGAGCAGCACCACGCTAGTTTGGCTCGGGCGGGCTACGGCTGGCACTCGGCTCCTTCGTTTTATTCGTGTTGCCCATCGGTGCTGCAATAGTTGCCGCGGTGGGTTGTACTGCTACCGGTGTCACCGTGTGTCTTCCGTCGTCTGTATGCGTTGTGATAACACTGGCACCGCTAAAAACTACCCCACCGTTGCCCGCGTGATTAGTTCGATGGTCCCTGCTACTGCCATTGCTCCTCTTCTCTTGCATTTTCTTAAACCCGTAGACCGCGAAAATCGGGCCGATTACCTGGTTCACGCACACCACCGCGATCACCACATCGCAAACCTCCTGGCCCCAGTTCGGAAAAATCGCGACCGTTTCCAGTGCCAGACCCAGACTGACCCCTGCCTGCGAAAGCATGGTGAACCCGAGGTACTGGCGCAGTTTTGGATCAGAGTTGTTATTTCGCACGTTGTTCCCTGCTGCAGCTGGACCTGCTTGACCCCCGTTATTCAAAAACGCTCCTGCTTCATTCAAATTGCTGTAGCCGTTGGTTGTGCCACTATTGCCGTAAAAAAACGTCGCCTCCGAGACCGCCACACCTAAGTTGCAGGCAACTAAAATCGCCACAGTTCGCAAGGCGAAGACGACCAGCGCCGTGTCCAGCAGGGAGGCCATCACCAGCAGTCGCAAGCTTGCTCCGGTAACCGTGAAAAAAGGCAGAAACACGTGCGGGGTGAAGGTGGTGATCACTTCGGCAACCTCCGCGCGGATCTCCGGGTCGTGGCCGACCACGCAGGCGAGTATCGAGCAGATCAGCAGGGGCTCCAGCCGCAAAACCCCCTCCGTCGCTGCGCTACCGCGGTCGCAAATCTCAAACACCGCCACAACGAACAGGAAAAAGGATGACGCGCGGGGGTACAGCCAGCGGTTTTGGGAAGCCTGCTGCCCGGCCGTCTCGCTGTTAGTCAGGCTGTCACGGCGGAAGGTGGCGCGCAGATTACCGATCTGCGCGGTGTCGTCGTTGAAAGCAGTGGTAGGGTCGGCCATCTGATACAGTGTTACGAAGATTTTTTGGTCATAGCAAAATCGATTTTATCCTGATCATGCTGTACAGACAATGATACTTGCGCGAACATCAAATGCATGATGCAAACACACAACGTTTAGGAAAAAATCTTGCCAAAATTTCATACCAGACTCCCCTCCCGACTGGTCGGCGCTTGCGGTTGCTGGGACAAAAAAGCGCCGAGATTTGCCTCCAATCGCGCTCTCTCCTCTTCGGTAAAATGCTGGGACAGGGCTGTCAGCCTCGCCCGGTCGTATTCCCCTGCTGGTTCGCCTGCTCCCGTGGTGTCGCTCCCCGGCGCCTCTTGCCGCTGCAATTTGCCCGCAATTCGCTTGTACAGGAGCTCGTCGTGGTCCTCGCGAAAGTCGAGCTGCGTTATCGGCGGAAAGATGGTCAAATTTGTCGCATCGAAGTCCTCCTCTTCCTGTCCCTCTTCCTCGCTCGAGGCTATCGCGAGCAACGCGCGGTCTTGCTCCTTCCGCTCCCTGGTTGGTCGGCTGCTTTCGGGGTGGTTCGTTTCGGACTCTCCGTTTCTTGTGCCTTTTTCATCTCCTTTCTGCACAAGAGCCCCAGCACCAGTTGATGTAGTTGTTCCTTTTACCTTGCTGCTCCGCCGCGCCTTACTTACGGTTTTTCGCAGCTCTGATCCAGACGAGGTCGTTCGAAACAACAGCACCCGGTACATTTTGCGAAACAAAAACCCGAATACAACGCCGATGAGAACCGAGCCGCCAATGGTGATGGTCAAATCGCGGCACAAATGCAGCGACGCTTGCCCGAAATCTTTCGTCGTCCACTTGTGCGGCTTCGGCAGTCGAAAATTCTTCACCGGTTTAGGCGGCGGGGCGCGGGTGTTGTGGAAAGGAAGGAGGTTGGAGAAAAACGACATCTCTACTCCTGTGCCGGATTCGGAAGGGCCGGCCGCGGTTCGAGTTGGTTGCTCAACTTGAAGAACCTTCCCGGAGCCAGCGGCCTCTTGCTGCAGCGATAGCAAGCTCATAGAACTTGATGTCGATGCGTCGCCGCTTTCGCCTCCCGAACTGCTCTTCCCCGAATGCTTCTCCGATCGACGTAGCTTTGCGTCTTTCTGTTCCTTCGATTTCACTTGCTTTTCCGTAGTGCCGCTGTTGCTCTGCTCGATGATGGGCGTCTGCTTCTTTTTCCTTCCTGATTTAGAAGAAGCTGTTGAATCTCCACGACCTGGCGCTTCCGTACTACTCGCTGTAGTTTCCTCCTCTACTTCTTCCTGCACCTCTTCCGGTGGGGGCGACGCCACCTCGGCCACCTCGACGTCTTTGTGTTTGTTCGCACTGGAGCTGCTGCCCGCCGAGGAGGATCCAGCTTCTTTCTCACCCGACTCTCCTCCGCTGCCACTTCCACTCGCGCCGTCTTCGCGCCCATTCGCTAAACTCACCTCGTGGGCCATCGCGACGCGGATGATACTGCACACCATGGAGAACACGAACAAGACCGCTAAATCCGAAGCGATGGCCGTGACCAGCACGATCCGCAGTCTCTCCCGCTCGAACTCCAGCGGGTCGAACAGTTTCAGCTGGTTGCAGATCGCGAACAAAGTGGTCGGACTCCTCGCCACCATAATCGCCCCCATCAGCATGCACGCGAGCATCCCGGGCGGCTTGGTGCTGTCGTAGGGGGAGTAGGGGAACAGGTGCAACAGCCACCCGCCGAGTCCGACGATCAGGACCGTGAAAATGGTCATGGAAAAGACCAACACTAAGACCGTTTTCCCGACCTTCCCCTGCATTTTCGGCAGATACACCTCGAGACCAGCAGTAATGGCGATGAAACTTAAACAAATCCGGTTCAAATCCCGCTGGATCAAGTACACTGCAAACCGGGACAGCAAATTGGTTCCGAACGGGCCCAGGACGATGCCCATTAAGAGGAAGCCCGTGATCTCGGGCAGGAGTCCGTAGGTCGCCGGGTTGATGTACTGCCCCAAAACGAAGCTGCTCGACGAAGCGACGATAAACGCGAGGATGACGTCGCGGTAGTCGCCTAACGCTGTGAAGTGTCCGGTGCAAAAGGATCCTCGCGCTCGTTTCTTTTTTACCAGTCGCTCAATACAGCAAAGCAAATTCCTTCCCTTCTACTGCTTTTTTGAACATGGCAAGTCATTTCATTTTGGTTCTTCTTCAGCTTGCAAACATACCTTTTGTGTCGTGTATGCAATTGATCCTCGAGTACGATTGAGATTGTTTTGCACTTTTCATACGAACGTCTCCCCAGCGGTGATGGTCACGTCTTCCACCCAGAAGCAGCTGTCTTCCAAAAAGATCTGCAAGTCGTAGGTGCCCCGAAATACGTCGACGGGAATGGGTTCGGACCGCGTGAATTCCAACGCGAAGGGCTCGAAGAAGTCGAGGGAGCAGTCTTTGGGCTGGCTCGTAGACGATCCTTCTGACCCCATACCGGATGAAGTAGGTGCTGCGAGTAGTGAAGATCCTTGTTCGGAGTCTCCAGCTGCTGCTCCTTGTGACCCACTAGAGGTGCTTCCATAAGTAGAAGTCTCTCGTCCACCCGCATCTCCTTCTGCGGTCGTTGTCAACAAATCGCACAGCGAGCCCGTGAAGTCGTACACACTCATGCAGTCTTGGTAGCGGCGGCAGAAGAAGACGTGGACGTGGAACTTGCCGAGTTTGTCGATGCGCTCGTTGGAAATGCCGAAAAGCTTGATCCGCAAATCCTGGGCGGTCTGAATCGTGCTCGGCTCGTGCTCCACGCGTACCAACCGGAGCTTCGGCGCGTACAACGCGCCCGTGGTGTGGCACGGGGTCACGTGCATCGCCGGGAGCAGCATAGGGAACAGGCATAGCACCAGGACGTGGCGGAGGGGCGGCGGACGGGAAGTTGGGGAGGTGCGCATTTTGATCTTGTGTTGGGGTTGGGTTCTTGGTGAAATAACTGGCATCACGATAAACCGAGCCAGTAGTCAGCACTAGCCATTTCGGCAACACTCGAACAGGAGAAGCTCCCTCAGACTCGCACCGAGGAAGATTATCACGCCTTCGCTCGTGTGATGTTTCATTCCGCGCACAGAATACTGAGCTCTCTGTCTTTTGTGCTCTGATTCCCCCCTCCCGGAACTCTCTCTTGGCAGCCTGGTTGTGGTTGCACACAAGCACACCAGTTTTTTTTTACACGGAATCGCGATGCAATGTGTGCGTGTGCGCGGTGCTACATCTTCGAGCCAAGCAGGATATTGGAAAGCGCGCTGTGCCGCGCAAAAAGACTGCGCAACCAGCTCCGCAGGAGCCGCAGTGTGCCGCGCGCCCACGCGCCAAAAATGACCCGGACCGCCCGAAAAGTGACCAGGGTCGAGCGAGACCAAAACGCCCCCGCCCGGCGCGCAACCGGCCCGGCGGTCGGTTCTGCCTTTAAAGGCCCCGGCGGGTACTTACTGCGGCCCGGCACTTTCTGTGGGTGCGCCGCGCTCCGCGAAGCTCGGGGCCGGCGCGAAGCGCTTCGGCGGCCCTAGGACTTCCCGGGCCCTGGGAAAAGCCACCGGGCGCCCGCCAGCAGCCAAAGGGCGGCGCGCCTCTTACTGTGCGTGGCGCGGCTGCGGCAATGCGGCGGGGAGGGGGTCTGACCCTTCTCCTCCGTCGGTTTCTCCGCGCTCTGACTGCTTGCGCAGTTGCGGACTGCGTCTCCGAAATCGACGCGCCGCGCAGGACGCTCTGCAAGAAAGGCCGAAGCGCCTAAGGTCTCGGAGCGGCGCCGCGCCACAATCATCGCTGCCCGGTCGCGCCCGGGGCGGCCGCGAGGTGCGCTGCGCCCCCTTTGCGGAGAGACAGGAAAGCGCGAGCACGCGTGAGGGCGTGCTCGCCCACACAGCGAGCAGAAGCTCAGCGGGCCTTCCGATGCCTGCGTGCGCGCGGTGCGCGGGCTTCATAGGGCGCCACCTTGGGAAAGGCTTCCAGGGGAATGGGCAGAAAGGGCGCCGGGCAATTCGCCGGGCCGCGAAATTCAAAGAGGGCGCAGGGCCGCAGGCCGTCGCGCTGTGGCGGGGTTGCCGGTTACGGAAATTGCAATCACAATTGGTAAAAAAGCTGCGGGCTGCAAAGCGATGCGCTTGCTTGTCGCCCGCGCCGCTTCCCGGGTGCGCCCGTCGGCGGCCCGATCATCCTTTTCTTCTGCGAAGCGTGCCGCAACCGTTGCCCCCGGCAACCCCCAGAAACAGAACAAGCCTGCGCGCAGCAGTTTCGAAAAGCGACGCGCCGCACCTCGAGCGCCGCGCTTGGTTGCCATCTTGATACCGTTGACGCCTAAGTACTTGCGCTTGTAAACAAGGCGAGTGCAGCTGTTCCTGATCCTGTTGTCACGGTGCTCATTAAATAAACGTAGCAACAACGCTTCACGAAAAAACGCACTCCTCTACTCCGCACCGAACCAGATGACTGCAACAACATGCGGAATGATTTCGCACACGCCACCAGGTTGCTACGACCACTGTCAAACACCGCTCTGCTTGTATCCGCCTTGGGAAACATACATGTACCGCCTCACGTCGGAATTCTCAGACTGCCCGCTCCGCGATTGCACCTCTTGAAGTAGAAGTCTCCTCAATCACACCTCTCTTCGTCGTTGCGTACCACTACGCAGCTGAAGCATTGATCGGAGTCTCCGAACACATAGACCACCCGCGAAGAGCCAGCGTCCACTTTGCACAGCCGTGCTAACTAACTAAAGCATCTTTTATTCAAGATTGCTTTTTTAAGGCGTATTCATTGCCACGCAGAAAAACAACTTCCACTATTTATTTGTTGCGTGTGCTGCGGCTTCATTTCGTCCTTCCGTCATTGAGCAACCGGCGCACATCAACAAAATGAGTTCCGACAGCCATTCTCCCCTGCCCCGTCACACCGTTTCACCCAGCCTCTGCCCGGCGCCTGCGAAGGGTTGAAACTGCGTCCCGCCAGCCCCCGGAAGCATCGGCTGTTGCGCCGGAACGTTGTTGCCTGTTTGCGACGGTGCACCTCCGGATCCACCTCCCACGCCTGACGAAGCAGCGGCTGCGCCACTTGGTCCGCTAGTCGGCGGCCCGCCGTCTAGTCTCTGGCCCGTCCCTCCAAAGAGGCCGGACACGCCGGTGAGCTGCCCGGGAACTGGCTGGTACGGCGTTTGGCCACTTGGCTGCACAATGCCGACTATGCATTGCAAACACGTCTGGGTCTCGAGGAATGTCATGCCGACGCTTCGCTATCTGTCTTGCACGACCAGCACGAAGTCCTCACATTTCGCGTGGCGAAATGGCATAGTTCTCTCATGCGTAGCAGTAGCCAGAAAGATGTCTTCTTGAAACTGGACATACTCATGCGTGCATCACAGAAAACCATCGGAGAAATGGAAAAGCTGTTTCACGAACCAGCAACACACTCTTCCGGACCCAATCATTTTTCAAGTTCATCTTCATACCGTTCTGGACGTAGGCGCCCGGTCGGCTTTGCGGTGACACCGGCATGTCCAGCACGTTGGGGAATTGGGGCTGCATCGCGATGTGCAGTTTAATCACCTGCCAGCCGTGGTAGCACGCGAACACCTGCACCAGTCCCGCAACAAGAATGATAATCGGTTCGAAGCAGAGGATGGAAAAGGTGCAAGGTACGAGCGACCCGAGCTTGCTGATCAGACTGAACGTCAGCGCGAGGTCGCAGAAACCGCTGCGGTATGGAATGCAAACAACTACTCAAGGTCAGGAAAGCTGTCTCGCGAAGTTTCAATCACTTGCAGAGAATTCTACTTGATCCGCAAGTTTTGAAGCACCGACGGAGAATTTTAGCACGGTACAGCTTTTTATTGCAAAGACCGCTTCATCACAAATGATCGTGTCCGTAGTACATGAACGCTCAAGTTGTACCAGGAAAGATTCATTGGGCCCTAGTGTGAGACGGCTATTTTCGAACTTTTTACCCTTTTGCAAACCGGGATGTAGACACCGCTTCCTTCCAGACGAGCTAAGCGCACACGACCACGAGTCATGTTTGCATGGTTGCATACGAATCCCCAAATGATACAGCACCAGGGCAGGCAACGCATACCGCCGCCGTAGAAAAACTGAAGGCAGCCGTCCTTGAAAAGTGTGTTCCAGCAGCCAATGAAAGTCTCGTCATCTTTCAAGAGGAATACACCTGGGTGAGACAAATTTTTTCCAAGTTATTACATGTATCGCATGCCTCCGACGGATATGAAAGCAAAAGTGCGTCAGCGACAAGTGGGGTGTGTCTAAGTTTGGCACTTACCTGCAACGGAGCTGAGCAGCAGATTGAGAAAGCCCGCGACATCGGCGGACAGGATTCGTAGTACCGCGAGAACCCACATGAGCAACTATCGAAGCGCAACGTGGAGTCAAGTCACGTAAAGACCCTGTGAATCTTCGTGCACGGAGCTCATGAGCGAAAACTGGCGCTGCAAAGTTAGTACATACTCCTCCTGCATCGCATGAAGTGACTTGACTCAAGATTTTGCTTCGATAGTAGGACGAGGTACTTCAGATACTTGAAGCGCTCAACCACCTCCGGTGTCATGGGCCCATCCGGTAGCCCCCCGCCGAGAGACAGCGGAACGACCATTATTCCGCACGCCCGGCCGTGGTGCTGCGTATGAGCCACTCCGCACTCTATTGTGCTGAGAAATACGATCACGCTCCAGGTCCGCGCAAATCAGTCACGCGCTCTGCCACCAAGCCCTTTCCTCATCAAAACTTGGCGAACGAATCCTACCGCTCAACCGCGCTCTCCACGAGCTAGCATTAACTCTCGGAGAAAACGCGCCCGCGCCAGCCCCCGGCATTAATAATCGGGATCTTGACTTACTTTCCTCTCAAGCGGCGCGCGAGCCACTCTTTACGCCGTGCCGAGATGACGCGCCGACACAGTAAATGTACGCGCCCCCCGGCCTTAAAGCGGCCCGGCCTGGCGCACGCGCAAAGGAGGGGCGCGGGGGCGGCGGCCGCAGGGGGGTAATACCGGGCGGGACCGGTGTGCAACCGTGTGCGCGCGGAAGCGGCCGGCTAGGCCGCGGTCTTGCAAAAAGGCCGGCGGGCGCGGAGGAAAGCGCTTGGCGGCGGCGCGACCGGCCCCGGGCCGTTGGTGAATTCCTCGAGGGTGTCTGGCCGCCTGTATTGGGCCATGTCGTGCTGCGCCGCCGGCTCGCCCGCGCGCTTTTTCCGGGGCGCTTGCTCTCGGAGGCCGCACTAAATCCCGCCGGCGGTTGGCGCCGATGCTGCCACTCATTCGGGCGCGCAGCAAGCGCGCGGCGTTTCGTGTATCGCCCCACAGCGGAAGGGCCCTTGCGCTGCGTGCGGTTGGCCCGGAGAAACTCGGGCCGCAAAGCTTGGCGGCGAGCAAGGGGGCACCGCCCAGGTTGTTTGATAACACTGCGCACATAGACCCCCAAGTGCGGCGCCCGTATTGGGTGCAGAATCTACTAAAAACGCAAACGATGCAAAGCAGGGCTAGGAGCCGCCTTTCCCGGATTGTTAAGCCCATTTGCGGTGGGCGGGCACAGGGCGTGCAGAAAAGGAAGGACGGAAACAGCTGCGGCTGGCGCGTCCTCCGCGAGACGCGAACTGAGCAGTCCTGCGGTAGGCTGCGCATTTACGATCCTGGCCTGTCAAAGGGAAAGGGAAGGACTAGGGGGGGGGGGGTCCACCAAGCAAATCGGACAAAGGAACCAAAGACGCACTTTCTGGATGGGTAGAGTAGGGCTGTGATGAGCTAACGTAGCACACTTAGGGGCCCGGTCTACTTTGGACAAGGGCACACACTGGAAGACGATGGAGAGTGCACTACTTCAATAAAAAACAAAAAAAGTCGAAAAGTGCCAAACTGGAAAAAACTTCTGAAAAACGTTCAGAAAAGGTCGCGCGTGTTTATATCAGTGGATTGCTCCAGGTCAAAGGCGTTTCATATTGCACACTTTTCCAGCTTGCTAATTTTTTCAGATTTTTCTAAATTCTGAAAAATAATTATTTATTTTTTAAATTTGAGAAAAGTAGCAAATGCCTATAATTTACCAGTAATATAATAGGTAAAAAATCTGACACAGTGAGCACTTGGCGCATGCTGTTCATACTATGTGCCCAATTAGCAAAGTTTCAAGCTCCCACAAAAATACACAAAAAAAAATTGCACTGATCAAAGTTGGCGGAAGTCACTTAAAAGCAGCATGGAAGCAGGTTAATATAGGTCAATCTGTATGGTTTTAGCTATTTGCCCTATATTAGAAGCGCGACGCTCCTTGAAATCTGGCAAACATCTCCTGACTTCTTAAATTCAAAAAATATTAAAAAATGGGAACTATGAAAAAATGCAAAAAAATCCCAATTTTGCATGCGTGTGAGCCTGCGAATGCGCGGGGTTTGATTGGCCCAGGCCGGGCCAGATCCGCAGCCGGCTGGTGCCCAGGGGGGGCAAGCGGATGCGCAGGGGCGGGCAGTCTATTGCCCGGGGCGGTCTATGGTTGACCCCTTCGGGGCCATGTTCGTCGGGCTGGCTTGCCCCGGGGCCTTCTGGCCCTTCCATGGATGCTGGTCGCCCTGCTTTGTGTTGCAGGCTTCTGATCCCAGGACGGCCTGCCCCATCGCAGGCATCCTGGTGATTCCGATCCCCGGATCGGGCTTGCAAGATCGGGCGCGGAGCTCGATCTCGATGGGCAGCAGGGAAAGCTGTTCCAGATGCATTCGTGCTCTGGCCGGTTTTCGTTTTTTCCCCACCCACCCTGCCCTGTTTGTCGTGGTCCTTTTGCTGAGGTTCGTTTCGCAGGACTTGTTGCGCCCCGGTGGCTTGTCCACCGCGGGGTGCGCAGTGCAGTGCCCTTTGGCAGCGTCTTGGCGCGCTCGCTTTCGCCCGTTTGCGATGTTTTTGCTGGGGCCTTTTGGTGCTCTCTGGTTTGAGTTTTGCCCCACCGCCGGGACGCGGCTTTGGAGCCGTCCCGGCCTTCGCGTGTTCGCGTTCGGGCGACCGCGACTGCGCTTCGGCGCTGCCATCGGGCGCTGTGCTTATTCGGGACCAGACGGTCCTGCGGACTGTGCCACGGCTGGAGCCAATAAAAGCTAAGACAATACAGACTATATAGGAAAGTGATGGGATAATTTGGAGCGTTTAGTCATCTTACAGAGTCAAGCTCCAAAGTATATTAAAGATTTTTCAAAATTCAGGAAATTGCGAAAAATTCCAAAAATTCATGAACTACCATAGTGGGCAAATATATCAACGAATATCGGAGATTATGGATTTGCGAAGGTATCTTAGTGCAATGACAAAGCTTGCTGCTGCTGAGTGTTCGTTATTTAATTGGGCATGATATAAGCTACGGGATCCTGGAAAAGTCCAAAAATTTCGAACGTCAGTTTTACAGAAAATATCACAAAGCATCCTTCCAGATATGGGCTCATGGATGGCCCAAGGGGCCACAGTGCCAGTTTTTTGCATGTTACAAGCGCAATCTGCCTTGCATGTGTCCCATTTCCGCGCCTCCGTCCTCGCCTGGCTCTCCGGATCGACGACCCCGCCGCCCTCCTCATCCCTCTTCCCCCCCCCCCCCCCTCTCTCCCGCCGCCGTGCATGGCGAAAAAACTGGCGGCGTCGGTGCGGAATCCCAGGAGAGAGGCGTCTTCCGGGTGTCGCCCGCGGTCCGCCGGAAGGGCGGCCTGCGGGGCCCATCCCGCGTGATATCTCGAAACGACGGAACCAACCCACAGTCGATAGCGCCGCGCGTAGGTAGCGCGGGGCCCCACCTTGAACGCGGACCGGCATGGCCTTTCCCGTGCATTGTGGATCCACTGCTCTCGTCTGGTCGTTTCGTTTCACGTGCGCCGGACGCTATGATGGATTGTCGCTTTTACCTGTTGTACACTGGACACTACTCTCGGTCGCATCAACAGAAAGTGGAACGTCGCAAAAGATCGGTGACTGTGTCGGTAACAATAGTGTAGCTGCGAGACAATCAAAGGCAGTGCGTGTACGGCGTGGCGCACTTCGTGTCAGTACGACGTCGGTGCTTTCTGAATCGAGTCCTTGTCGTGGCGAAAAGAAAGGTCGTGGCTCCAGTCGCCTGTCTCATCATGATCATCTATCCGGCCCTGTGGTCTTTTGGCGTTTCGTGCAACGGGTGGTGGATTCGTTCTACAGGAGATGCTGCTAGTAGGCGTGTCTTCTTATACTGGCTTGTGATACTTGTGACACTGTTGAAAATTCTGGGTGAGCCACCGGATTCTTGCGCTACCTTTGTAAGGTTGATGAGTGACTATGCGCCGCCTGCGGGGGGTGAGGCTAGAGGAGAGCGAATGTAAAGCACAAGACCTACATAACTCACAAAAAAGTCTTGGCAGTCTTTGGATTTGAGGTGAACAGCTACAGGAATAAAAAGACACCGTATTACTTTTACGGGAGGCCGCTCCGTGCTTTTCAGGTTGAGGGCTAGTGCTGGTCAGGCGGGATAGATATATTCTTTCTGAAGTTGGCCGGCACGCCGTTATTGGCAGGCAGGCTTGTACGCAGGGGCACTTACCTAGCAACTGCTGTTCATTGTGCGGCTCATGTAATTTAGATGCGAGGGCACAAGAGACCCCCGGTCGGGGGTAAAAAAACATACGGTGCGCGGGCAATGAAAACTCGTGCCCACTCTGGATGTCGCAGGACAGGACCGCCGCACGACGACCGGCAGTGAGGATCAAACCTGGCTGCATGCGCGAGCAGCGACACCCGCATGGCGCCGTCGACGCGATGCGAGGCACGAGGTTCGCCGGGGCTGCGGACGAGGACTGCGGTGTCGCTGTACATTGGATCGTCCGCTTGCTCGAGCACGAGCAACAGCGTCGTGCAAGCTGCTGCTCCACCACCACTGCACAGGAAGAGTTTCTTTTCTTATCTCGGCACAACTGCGGCACTCCACCTGCTAACTGCGCAGGGAATTCTGCAGAGAAGGGAAGAGGCGGGAGTGGGCGTAAGGATCGCGGGAGATGCGCCGGATGCCGACGCTGTTCTCGGGACTTCTGCAGCATCTGAATACTACAAAGCTTTCGCAGAGGGAGCTCAGCACCTGCTTGCGCGAAAAGATGAGGAGGAAGGACGTTCGGATGGCGCGGGTGGTTCTCCTGGCGCAGCAGACGCAGCACCGAAAAAGGTTGAAGAAGAGTACGACAGGGCAGACCCTGCGCTCCCGGAAACCAGCCGCGGTCGGATGCGTGACCCGCGGGGAGTAGAAGGCACCGGACACGGCAAAGGTGAGAGTGAAATAATTTCGAAAAAGCACTATGGGGAGACATCAAAGGTGGTTACAAGAAGTTCTCGCAGTACCGGCACAGCGGACGACGAACCTTTCAGTCATGATCCCAACGACAACGCGCCCGCGGACACGCCATCCCCTTTTGCCGCCCTCCAGGAACGCGAGCGAGAAAGCCGGACGAACAAGCAGCAACTACTAGCAGCCGGAGAGAACGCTGCTCCCGCCCCGCCCGAAACAGCGGAGGCCACCCCTCCTCCTCCTGCAAAGGCAGCCGCCCTTCCCGCCTCGACGTCCGCCGCGCCGGGGGCGAAGAAAAAGAAGACCACGGAGGCGGCCGAGAAAAAAGCGACGACGAAACAGAAGGGCGAGGAGGAACGCGAAGCCACGCTGCG